ATATCACCTGCTCACAATAAATTTGCAAGACAAAAATGCTCTTGTATGACGTATGAATCGTTAGGGGTGACAGACTATCATACACAACGCGTATGCGAGAGCTGTTCACCAAAATTTTGGTGAGCACGCCAACATGTTGGTAAAGGTGGCAGACTATCATACCTGTGTGTCATACGACGTTTTTCTCTCTCGTATGACATACCAGTATGATAGTCTGCACCCCACTTAAGGGGCACTTAAGTATATCTGTTTTGGTTACCCTTTGCTTTATTTCGTTGTAGTCTAGATTACTGTCTCTTCTTTGTTAAGTAAAGTTATTGCAAGTTATGAAATTCTAACAAAATTAGTCCATTCGTGAATTCGAAAGTAAGCTGATCGCGAGTGAAATAATTTATAAATAGTGCTTATTAAAAGTAATAAAAATACATAAACTAATTAAATAATTAAATAAACTAATTAAAATAAATGAAAAGACAACTGAACCATAAATATTAAATAATAGTGCCAAACCGTGGAAAATTGTACGTAAAAATTGTAACAAAACAATTGTAAGTATACTTTTATACCTGTATGGAATTATATTTAAAGTTGTCATTAGTGCATTTTTTTTTCAGTTAGTATTTTTGTTTAATTTTAAAATCAACATATACATTGTCTAATATTGCATTATGTTACAGAAGCTGCAGATACTGAAGTCCTAAGTGAAGAAAATTATAGGAATGACATAAAAAAGGGTTTCAAGGTTGTAAAAAACAGATATTATAGAGTGGCTTGCATCAAAAAAAATCAACAAAAGAGATTAACTAGATATAGTTATAAATATTTTTACAATATTATTAGTTTAATAATGTTAATTTAAGTTTAAATAAATTTTAGGTATAGTTATAGATAGTTTTATAGTGTTATTAGTTCAAAAAATGTAAATATTATTTAATTTATAATAATGTTAATTTAAGTTTAAATAAATTTTAGGTATAGTTATATATAGTTTCATAATATTATTAGTTTAAAAAATGTTAATATTATTTAATTTATAATCATGTTAATAATTTTAATTTAAATAAATTTTATTATAATATAAAAGATATTGGAATTTTAATAAATATAATTAATTACTAAATATTAATTATTAATTAATTAATTAATTAATTAATTAATTAATTATAATTAATTAATTAATTAATTATAATTAATTAATATGCATTTTTTAAGTGCTTTATAAAGGCCTTTTCTACGCAGCGAGTATGTAAGGCCTTCCTCAGAATTTGTGTTGCAGTGCTTTATAAAGGCCTTTTCTACGCAGCGAATGTGTAAGGCCTTCCTCAGAATTTGTGTTGCAGTGCTTTTTAAAGGCCTTTTCTACACAGCGAATGTATAAGGCCTCCGATATTGCCTCATTCAGAACAAAAAAGAAAAAGTAAAAAATACAAGTGTGTAAGTACTACTTACTGCAAAAAAAAGGCCTTTTTACTCCTTATTTCTGCTACTGGGATGTCCATCTCTTCAAAGATCATTCACTTGTGTGCTGTTTATTACATCAGACGTTACTATTATATCAGACGTCAAAAAGTATAAATTGTTGTTATCTTCTGTATTATACAAGTGCATACTATTATTCCACATTTCATTATTATCAAAATCTACGTCGCATATACAAGAATAAAAACAAAAAAACAAAAAAATCATGGACCCCATGTAGAAATACCAAGTGCTTGTATAAATTAATTTATTTCTTTGAATAATATTTTTGTAATAATTTTTATATTAATTTATTTGTTCATTCAAATAGTATTTTTCACAATCTTATTATTAATAGTATTTTTACTAACTGTTGTCGCTTACGCAGCGTATTAAAAACTAAACTAAAAACTAATTTTACAATAATTAACTCTTTAACAAATATCCATTACGGGATATTGTTTTGCAGAAAATAACCAACGGTAACTTGTTTTGATACAATTGTATCAAAACAATATCCCGTATGAAATATTTGTTTTGATGCAATTGATCAATAGTTATAATGATCATTACAATAAATGATCATTACAATAAATGATCATTAACTCCTCCGCCCTTAAAAATTGAGCGTCCCGATCAATGGAGTTGCAACAGTTTACTCAATGGTTATAAATATCATTAATACTATTTTTATAACGTACAATCTTATTTTAATATAATTTTACAATTTAGATATTTCCATTTTTAGCAGTTGTGCTATGCACATGCATTCAATAACTTAATTAATTTAATTTAATACAACTTGTCAATTTAGCTATAATATTATCAATATAATTTTCTTTAAATATAATTTCTTCTTTCTCTTAAGAATTTAACTTAATACAAGATTTATTTCCATTTTTAGCAGGTGTGCTATGCACATGCATTTGGAATATTTTACAATAATTTAATTCATTTAATTTAAAATAATTTTTTAATTTAGCTATAATATAATTAATGTAAATTTATTTAAATATAATTTCTTCTTTCTCTTAAGAATTTATCTTAATACAATATTTATTTCCATTTTTAGCAGGTGTGCTATGCACATGCATTTGGAATATTCATTAACTTAATTAATTTAATTTAATGCAACTTGTCAATATGAATGATTTGTCCCGGGAATGTTGGTATAGGGGTGGATTTTATTTCAAGTTTATTAGGGTGTCTATCATATTTGTATTCTGAACATATCCTGCATTGTTTTATAATATTTTTTACCTTTGCTAACATTTTAGGAAAATAAAATTTTTCTAATAATTGCTTCTTATTTTCTACGGCGTTTTTATGAGCTCGTTTGTGTTGTTGTTCTTGTTGATCGTTTGTTTTCAAATCTTTAACCTGTGTTTGAGTGAATCTAATTTTAATGTTACCAAAGTTTGTGGGGTAGAGCTTTTGGATTTTACCCATTATCTCTTCAGATGTGAATAATCCATTTATAAGTGATGGATTTAAGTAACGTTTGAGAATTGATATTAGGTCACTTGCAGAATAGTGAGGCCTAGTTATTGTATGACGATGGTAAATCGGAAAAGGTAGCTTGTACTGGTAATCTTTCTGTCTTCCTACTAATATTATAATCTGATTTTTAAAGACGTTTACTGGTGTTTCTATTGCTGGTATAAGATTGTGTCCAGAACTTTCATCCGAGTGAGTTGCTATAGATAATGAATTTAATGCGGGTGGTCTCGAGAGCGTATCTGCAACTATATTATTACTGCCTGGCTTATATTTAAGCTCGTAATTATACTCTTCCAGAATTGATTTCCATCTTTTCAACTTGACGTTATCATTTTTGTTGCTCAATGCGAATGTGAGCGGCTGGTGATCGGTGAATATTTTTAATTTTGCAGTACCATATAAGTAGTTTCTAAGAGATTTCAGAGCCCAAATAATTGCCAGCATTTCTTTTTCATTTGCAGCATAGTTTTCCTCTGTTTTACTCAATGTTCGTGAAATGAATGTGATTGGTTTTCCACATTGTTCTAAGACTGCACCAATAGCGTGATTTGAAGCGTCAGTAGTTAAATGAAACTCTTTTTGGAAATCTGGATATGTTAACAGTACTTCTTTTGAGATAAGAGCGTTTTTAAGTTTGTTAAAGGCTTCTTTTTGTACACTGCGTAGGTTAACTAATGTTTTTTTCGATTGATTTTTTGAGACTCTCCCATTTTGCCCTCTCAATAGATTGGTAAGAAGCTTCGCTATATTGGCGTAGTCTCTAACAAATCGCCTATAGTAACCTGATAGACCAAGGAATGCTCTTAAATCTTTTAATGTTTTTGGACAAGGAAATTCGACAATTGATTTTACTTTAGCAGGGTTAGTAGAGATTCCTTCGGGAGAAATGAGAAAATCTAAGAACTCGATTTGTTTCTGGAAAAATTCACATTTATCTAATTGGACTTTCATGTTAGATTCACGTAAGGTATTAAAAATTTCGCGTATATGGTCTGCATGGGATTTTTCATCTTTACTAAATATAATGATGTCATCTATGTAGACATAACAGATTCTTCCTATGTGTTTTCTTAAAATATCATCTAAAGCTCTTTGAAAAATCGCTGGAGCGTTTTTTAGTCCAAATGGTAGTTGCGTAAATTCATATTTTGCATTGTTTAATGAAAAAGCTGTTTTCTCAATGTCAGATTCTCTTAAAAGAATCTGGTGGAAACCACTTTTCAAATCGATCACAGAAAAAAAATTGTTTTGTCTCAATTGCGCCAATACCTCATTAATATCAGGAATAGGATACCTATCAGTTACTGTAACCGCATTTAATTTCCTATAATCTATTACCATTCTGTATTTTTTTTCTCCAGAAGCATCTTCTTTTTTTGGAACTACCCATATTGGTGAATTATAGGGAGACCTAGAAGGTCTAATAATTCCATTTTCTAGCAGCTTTCCTATTTGCTTTTCAACTTCATTTCTCAAAGATGCAGGATATGGATAATATTTAGTGTAAACGGGAGTATCTGAATTTGTTCTAATGGTAGCGACAACTTGTGTGGTGAAAGTTAATCTTTCGTTTGGTTCGGAAAACAATTCTAAATGTTGATGTATCAATGTTTTCATTAGTTTTTTTTGTAATAAATTCATATGTGTATCTCTTAAATTAACAAAATTGACGTCCTGTGATGTTAATTGCTTTAACTGAATTTTAATGGAATTTCTAATAATCATAAAGTTGTGTTTAGTATGAATAACCGCAGACAGTTCTTTAAGACTGTCGTTACCCAGGATGGCATTAAATGAAATTAAAGATGGGAGAATATAAAATTTTAATTTAATATCTGTACAGTTGAAAAGATTTACATATGTGTGGTGTGTGATTTCTATTTTTCCTCCTACCGAATTCGCAAAAAAGTTTTTGTCATTTCGTATTATCTTCTTAGCCCAGTTTGCCTGAACATAGTTTTTGTTAGAACCGGTATCTACTAATATTTTTAGAATTTCTCCTCTCTTCGTTCTTCACTCAAAGTAAGGCAACGAAGAGACGTTTAATCTAAAAAATGAATATCTGCAATATTCATTGTTTCATAATTAACCATGCAATCCTGTTGTTCATTATCGAACGTGTTATTTTCATTATAGTCGGACTGAACAAGTTCATGATCAATCGAGGGAAAATATTTTATGTCCTGTCGATTTGTGTTTATGTGAAAATTTTTCTGTATTTTTATTGGAGGATTAGTGCTTTCTTGTGCTTTCTTGGCGTTTTTGTGCATGTCTGAAATTTGGTCTATTGTGATAGTTTACCATATTTGTTCTCAAACTGGGATCTATATCCATAGGTTCTGGTTTTGAAATCGATTTTGGTATTATGGGTCTTGGTAGGTGATTACTGTATGGATTTTCCTGATACATTTGCTGTGGTCTTATACCCTGGTTAAAATAATATTGTGGGTGATGTACTTGGGGTCTAAATGGTTGTTGATATTGTGGCATATGCGCCAATTGTGGATAGAATGGGTGACTATATTGGATATTTCTTTGTTGTATTTGTGGCTAGGAGTAATTTCGTATATAACCGTTCTTGTTATAAGCATGGTGTGATCTGAAGTTTTGGTTCTCCAATTTCAGACACAGATGGAGTTCTTCAGGCAAGTCTTTGGGTTCTCTCACTCCCAGTAACATGGGAAGACTGCCAGAAAGTCCTCTTATAAATGTATCAAGGGCTTTATCTCGATAATTTTTTGTTAATATCCGCCTTGACTCCTCACAAATTTCCATGCAGCTTATTTTATTTATAACTAGGTGACCCCGCGAACTTCGTACCGCGTAACAGTCAATAAATGTTATATTAAATTATAGGTAAACTAAATTTAGAAATTTATTAACATAAAGTATTAGTGTTGCTGTTAAGCTAGACTTACTTTGTATAGAGACAAAGAAGCTTTATTAAATTTTTAGAAGGGTTTTCGAATAACAAAGAAAGAAATAAAGGACAAACACAAAAATTTATTTTTAATTTATTGAAATTTGGCTGACCATACAACGCTGTTTCGAGTATTGCCAAGTACTCTTCATCAGTGGTCTTTGGGAATAATCGAGTTTTATTTAATCCAAACAAATTATATACGGACTATAAACTAATTAAATAAAATTCGATTATTCCCAAAGACCACTGATGAAGAGTACTTGGCAATACAACAGCGTTGTATGGTCAGCCAAATTTCAATAAAATTAAAAATAAATTTTTGTGTTTGTCCTTTATTTCTTTCTTTGTTATTCGAAAACCCTTCTAGAAATTTATTAACGTAATAAAATGAATACAAAAAATTTATTGTATTCAATAGTTTATTAGGATATTGATATATAATTAATTATTTTAATGGTCTGTCAGCAAGAACCTATGGGTTGCACTCCGATTGATTCTCTTCAATAAAGAACCTTTGTGATATACGATATTTTTTTTTTATCAGGTGCAAGAACAAATAAAGCAGATGGTTTGCCTACTCGTGAACATGCCACGTACAATTGACCATGAGAAAACCATGCATTTTCTAGATTCAGACCACAAACACTTAAGGATTGGCCTTGTGATTTATTTATAGTCATAGCGAATGCAAGCCGAATAGGAAATTGAATTCGTTTAAACTCAAAGGGCATATCGATTGAGATCATTGGAATCCTCGGAATGAGAACTTCATCACTTTTGAATTTTCCTTTGAGTATCATTGCGTGAATCACATTGGCCATCACTTTTGTTATCACTAAACGCGTTCCATTGCATAGTTTTGGTTGGTTTAGATTTCGAAGCATAATGACTACCGAACCAATCTTTAATTGTAAATTGTGCGATGGTAAGCCAGGCACATCCAAGGAGTTCAAAAATTCAGTTGGATAGTTGGTAGCTTCTTCTTCGTTTGTTACACAGTCAATAGATTTAAATGTATGCAGAGTACCAACGATTTGATTTTGAATTACAAAGTTTAAGTCATTCACATCTCTGTTCTTAGCTGCCAAAATTGCTCGCTCACTCAACCATTTTTTGTTTTTATGATTATCAATGATGTTCGGAAATACTTCATGGATGAGTTCGTCTTTTGATGAGACGAAATTGCAAAAATTTGAAGGAAATGCAATTAATCCGCTCGATTCTTCAACAGCTACACGGCCATTACCGATTAACAGCAATTGCTTGGAGAACTCTTCAGCAGATGCATCGTTTACCAATGCAACTCTCATGTTTGTTACCAGCTGAAGTTTCTTCACATAGCGCCAAAGATTTGATGATTTAAGGCAAGCATTTATTTCGTCGACAGCAGTCGATTTTGGAATGACTGGGAGTGTTTGGCGAAAATCGCCAGACAGTAAAATCATTGCGCCTCCAAAACATCTCGAGTCATTGCGAAGATCTTTCAATATTCTGTCAAGTGCTTCTAATGCGCGTTTGTGCGCCATTGTGCATTCGTCCCAGATGATGATTTTAGATGCTACTAAAACTTTAGCCATTGCAGAATGCTTCGCAATATTACATATCGGTTGCTCGGTAGTTTGAAGGTTTAACGGCAATTTTAACGCTGAATGAGCCGTACGGCATCCTTCTAACAATGTAGCCGCTATTCCAGAAGAAGCAACTGCTACCGCAATGTCGGAACAGTGGCCAAAATTAATGACATGAGGAATGTTTTACCAGTTCCACCGGGGGCGTCCAGGAAAAAAAGCCACCATTTTCTTCATCAATCGCTTTCATTAATGTTAAACTTCCTTCTGTTGCGGATTCAATAGAGGTACATTAGTTTGAACTGATTGGTCTAATTCATGTCGATCATATTCACGTTCACGTTCCAATTCTCGATTAAATGCGTTATTTATTCCACGATCAGGAGCCGGCATTCCTAATCTGACTAACAAACTACCGCAGGTATGGTAACATATGTCTTCGATCAAGAGCAAAGCCTGATTATGCATTTCATCATTCTCCTCAAGATCGGGATTTCTTGAACTGACACGAATTCTATGTAAAATGTCTTCTGACATGTTATCCTTATATTTGTTCCACAGGTCACGTGGATTCGATGGTATATTGACAACAATATTTATTTATTATATCTGAATTTATCATATTTGAAATTTCAAATATTTCAAATATTTGAAAAAAAAATTTAAAAAGAAATCAATATCACTCAAACTGTCGAACTGTCAACAGTTTGAAACAGCACTTACAAATTTATTATTTTTGCTAAAATTAGTGGATTTTTCCAATATTTTATAATGTATTCTGCTATTCGAAGCGGAGACGGTTCCAACAAATCAAAGATAATTAAAATCGGTTCAGCCGTTCTTGAGTAATGAGTGGTGTAACTAACACAACTTTCTTTTATGTATATAGATTAATTAATGACAAATGTGAATAAACACGTTGATAAAAATCTTGGATAGAGTGTCGTCCTTGTATCAGACATGACATTTGATACTCTAATGTTCCTAAGTCGCGTTTGTCAGCGTAATGAGTTGTAAGACAACGTGCAATTGCACTCCAATCTAAAGGCGTGTTATAGGATTCTAAAGCTATATCAGCTTGACCTATGATTTTATTTCTAATTACATTCAAAATTCCGAAGAATTTGGGTGTACCTTTGAACTGGTCATAAATATTTAATATTCTCTCTACACTTTTCTTCCATGAGCTATATTCTGCAGGGTTACCGGAAAATTCTCTCAAAGAGCGAACAACGTCAGGAATTTTGTCCATGTCGCTTATATTATTTTTGTACTTGTCATCTATTGTTTGGTCAGTTATTATTGTCTGGTTTATGCTACTATATCTATCTATCACCTGTGTAACTATTTCTCTTATATTATTGAGTAAATCTGATTGTAATGAAAAGTTGATGGTGAAATCTGCGGTATGGAAAAAACTGGCACGTCATCACTTCCCAACATGGAAGGTCTAATAATATTACTTGGAGTTTGATTTGAGCTTTCGAAGCGACCGGTTGCAAAAATACAGAGAGCGGAATGTAAACATTGGTGCTTGTTTTTAAAAAAAAAGAAAAAACAAATTTATTAAACCTTCATAAATTTTATAAATTATTTAAGTGTTAATAATTTTCTTAATTAATTTTACAAGTGTAATCTTAGTAAATTTGTACATTTTATAATATAAATTCCATACTATTGCATAAAGCAAAAGTGCGCGCACAAAATTTTTTTTTTTTAAAAAAACAAGTTTTGAATAGCGGAGAATATTTCTAACAGTGAGACGAGCGAATAAAAATGAGATGAGTGATGTTGAGATCAAAGAGGATGAGTGAATAAAGAAAATACAGCAATAAAGTTTAAAATATCACAACAAAACAAGATAATCCAATCAACAAAACTAAATCACTAAGCATCTAAAAAATGGAAAATAAATAAGAAGTGGAACATTTTTTAATATAAACAAGAGAAAATAAAGCATTTTGTTTTTAATCTTTATTTTCCATAAATTAATAAAATTGATAGAACAATAAATAATTATATCAATTCTCAATAAACAATAACGAAATTAAAATTAAAATGCTTATAATATTTAATACAATAAAATTCAATATTTTAATTTAGCTTATTTTTTGAATTTTTTTACACGAAATTTTAAAATCACATTTTTTCATTTTAACAAATTATATTGTAGTATTTTGGATTTACAAAATTGTAATTGAACTAATTGCAAATATATCTTTGTGTTTGAAACTTTATAAATATGAGTTTGAATTGAACGTTCGAAGTGACCGGTTGCATAATACAGAGTGCGGAAAGTAAACAATTAAATTTAATAAATTAAATATTGGTTAACAATATTTAAAAACATATTTAGAAATCTAATAATCTTCGTTATAAACCGCGTCCATTTAACAATCTAAAAAGATTCTTGCCAAGAAATTGACCACGAAAAATATAATGCCTACTGAAAGAAGCCCTCCATCCAAATCCACCAAATTAATGAATGATACAATGTCTGGCCCAGCAGCAAAACGTACTATCTCAGAGGTGTCACCTAATAAAGGTGACCTACAATCTGTTGGCAGTATGGATGTGACGCAGCTTTTACAGGACATACAAAAAACAATGGTGAGCATTCTAGATGAGAAATTGAGGGATATTGCTTCTAAATCCGATTTAGAGGCTGTCAACACAAATATAATCAGCCTTAATCATATAGTCGAAAAGCTTTCAGAAGAAAATAAAACTTTAAAAGAAAAAATAATTAAATTGGAGCATGAAAAACAAACCGACCACGATGAGCTGATGCGGCTAATTGACGCCAATAAGGAGAAAAACCTAATTTTCAAAGGCCTAACAGTTCAGCTGCCACCCAAGGAAGCTGTCACAAAACTGTGTGAAGAAACTCTTGGCATAAACATTGTAGTCCGTAAAGCTAGAGTCATATCACAGCGGGAAAATAAAATCAACGTCTTGGCAGAGATGACGTCAGAAGAATCGATTGGCCTAGTTTTCCAAAACATACACAAACTTGCAAACTCTACGATTAGAATTGAAAAAGACCTGAACAAAGACAGACAACGGCATAGAAAAGCTCTTCTTTTAATAAGGAAACAAATTCTCTCGATAGATCGTTCGCATAAGGTACTCGTTCGAGATGATAGAATACGCATTGGAAACAAGTGGTGCAAATGGAACAAAAATGGAATCCTAAAGTGTGGCAATGAAGAGGCAACTACTACTCTCAAATTTATGTATGGAAGCAAACTTGAAAACCTTAATCTTAACTTATTAAGCATCATGAATGAGATAGATCAAAACAACCATATGGCAAAAAACTAAAGAACGAATACAACACATTAACAACAACTACAGAGGAAGCTCCATCAACATCATGGAATACAGAATCTACATACAATCTTTTTAAGCTTCAAATAACTTTTTGGAATGTACACGGTATTGCAAATCTTTTTAACGAACCAAAAATTGCTGACTCGCAGATCATATCTATCTATGAAACCTGGTCAACAACACCTTTCAATACTAGCCTTAGTCCTTGGTGCAACTATGATGCACTGACAGTCTCAGCAACAAGGGAAAAGTCCACTGGTAGAGCTAGTGGTGGTATTGTATCTCTAGTTAAAAAAAATTTAGCAAAAAGTTGCGAAATAAGCAAAACAAATTTGTGGATTTTCAACTTTTATTGTATTAATAATTTTAATTTTATTTTAGGTTCATTGTACATTAAACCACATTATGATATAAATATTGCTTTAGAATTGCTTCAACCATTAATCGATGAAATAATTAAAAAATATGCAGGGATCCCTTTAATAATAGGTGGTGACTTCAACGCTAGAGTGGGTGAAGAGGGTGCTCAAGAATTCTTATCTGAAATTAGTTCTATTTTCATATCTAAAAGAAGATCTCTTGATTCAATCTTGAATACGCGTGGTAAAAATATATTAGAATTTATAGAAAATAATGGCTTTATTTTGCTTAACGGTTGCACAGACGGTGACATCCCAGCAAGTTTTACATTTTCAAACAAAAATGGAAACAGTACTATTGATTTAATTTTGGTCAACGTCGCTGCAATCCCATTTATAAAAAGCCTAGAAGTACAAGCGCTTGCTTCTGGCTCAGACCATTTCCCGGTAATCCTAAAACTTGAATTACCTATCGGCACTAGTAATATAAACTGTATAAATGTAACTTCTTGTAAGCAAACCAGATTAAAATGGGATACAAAAAAGTTTGACATTTTTACAATGCACATGAACCGTTGTCTTGAATCATTAAACATGAATCATCACTTCTGTTCTTTATCCATTGACCAACAAAGTGATCTAATCATATCCTCCATACAAAAATCAGCTCAAGCATCAGAAATGGTAATTACAAAATCCTTTATGCCTCCTTATTATACTTCTCAGCCATGGTTTGACTCAGAGCTACGGGCCTCAAAGAAAAATCTAAATCATGCCCTAAAACAGTGCAAGCGTCAAAGCTTTTCACCTGAAACCAAAACGGTATACATTGTTTTAAAAGCAAATTACAAAAAAATGCTGTCTGAAAAAAGAACGGAATATGAAATTAAGGTCAAAAATAAGTTCTTTAATGTAAAAAGTTCGAAAGACTTTTGGAATCTTATTAAATCGTACAATCGAAAACCTTTTGTCAACAACCCCATACCAAATTCTGTTTGGAAATTCTTCTACGAACAAATTTATCCACCTCGTCCTACCATTGAACATATACTGTCTGAAAACTTTATCGAAGCGCTGGATTCGGAAATAACAATAATTGAAATAAAAACAGCAATAAATAAAATCAAAATCAATAAGGCTCCAGGCGAAGATACGATTACGGCAGAGTTCTTTAAGAATTTATCTAGTCAATGGATTTATATCCTACAGTCTGTATTCAATAACATTCTCTTAACTGGAAGCACACCAGCTTCTTGGTCACGATCC